TTATAGTTTATATTGCATTTATTAAAAAGTGAAGATAAGTTGAAAATCAATGATCTTAGTATCCAACCCAGTAAGTCAGATAAATAGTGAATTAAACTCAAAGAAAGTAGTAGAAAGATAACAATAAGTTATAATGGTTAATTTTATGTGTCAACTTGACTGGACCTTCAGGTGACCAAATATTTGGTCAAACATCATTCTAAAGGTTTAGGTGAGGATGTTTTGGTTGAGATGAATATTTAAATCTGTAGACTGAGTAAAGCAGATTGCCATTCCTAATGCGGGTGGGTCTCATCAATCAGCTGAAGGCCTGAATAGAACAAAAAGGCTAACCCTCTTTGAAGTAAGAGAGAATTCTTCCTGCCTGACTGCTTTTGAACTGAAACATCAGCTTTTTTCTGCCTTTGGACTCTAACTGAAACATCGGTTCTTCCTGGTTCTTGAGCCTGCTGACCTTCAGACTGGAACTATACCATTGGTTCTCCTGGTTCTCAGGTCTTCAGACTCAGACTGGAACACCATCAGCTCTCCTGGATCTCCTGCTTGCCAACTCACCCTGCAGATCTTGGAACTTGTCAGCCTTCATAATCACGTGAGCCAATTCCTCATAATAAATATGTTTCTCTATACATAGAAAAACATCTATTGGTTCTAGTTTTTCAGAGAACCCTAATTCAAAACATGAGAGCAGAAATTAAAAGAATAGAAAACAAAAAATTTAGTACATTAGCAAAAGCAATTCTTTGAAAATACTAACAAAATTGATGTATCTCTGGCAAATCTGATCAAGAATGAAAGAGAAGGCACAAAAAAATCACAATCAAGTTAAGCTCCCCCTAGGAGTACAGTTTAACTTTTCAGAGTCAGTCAATGCAATTCACAGAAATAAGTAGAAAAATATATGGTAATAAAAATAGATAATAAGAAGCATTTAATAAAATTTACCTTCTCTTCATTATAAAAATCTCTTGGTACACTAGGAAAAGAAAGGAATTTCATTAATATGAACTTTGTTAATTTTCCCAAAGCTATGAAAACATCTTCCTTAATGATGCATTAATATAAGTTTTCCTCCTGAAATGAGAAATGAGACAAAGATGGCTATGATGTATCTCTTTAATTTAACATTGTACAGCTATTCACAATATTGATCATTAGATGAGAAGGAATTGGAACTCATAGACATTTAGTGAAAATGAAAACATGCAGTGGTTGGTATAACCACTTTGGAAAACTGCTTGGCAGTATCAAAGTTAAACATACTAATATCCTATGGATCAATATACATTTAACAGAAATGCATATAGGTATTTACCAAAAGATATGTACAAGGTTGTTCATGGTAGTATTATTACATCAACTGTAAAATGAATAAATTAATTTGTGGTAGTGCCATAGCCAAACAATGAAATGCTATTTTAATAATGAAATTAAATTAATTAATAATACAAATATAATAGAAATAGAAGCAAGAAAGAGAGCAATATGTATTGCATAATTCTACCTGTCTAATTCAAAACAGGTAACAGTAGCCTACAGTGGTAGAAGTCAGGATAGTGGTTATTTTTAGAGAGGAGAGTGGGAATATTAACTAGGTAAGAGTATGAAATAGGCTTCTGAATGGCTTGCGTTTTTTTTCTTGTATTACTTGTCCTTCTATTGTATTTTTAATGTGGATTGTAGTTTCATGGGTATGTTTACTTCATCAGAATTCATTAAATATACATCTATAATCTCTGTACATTATATATATTTCAACAAAAATATTTATCTTAAAATTAAACACCTATTCCTAATAAAAGAAATTTATAACATATAAATCAATGTATACTTCTTTAAATCTCTCTCTCTCTTTCTATGCCCTCATCCTCCCTCCCCAGAATTCAGGATCTTATTTAATGGGGAAATACTAGAGGCATAGCCACTAAAGTCAGGAAGAAGGCAAGGGTGCTCAACCTCTCCACTATTTTTAATACGCTAGGATGATTTTTAGCAAAGCAGTTAGACAAATACAAACAATTAGAGACATAAAAATTGGAAAAAATAAGGTAGTCTCTATTTTAGATTATATGATAATATATCTGGAACCGCAAAGAGAATCAACCTTAAAATGAATACAAACAAAAGAATTTAGAAGGGTGTATACTAAAATCTAGTTATAGAAATGATACCCTATTAGAAAAGGTAATGAAGAGAAGAACCTACATAAAATAGCAGTAAGAAAGTTAAAATAACTAGGTATAAAATTAGCAAGAAAATCAGTATGTGGAAGACTTTCAAACTTCCTAATAATGTAAAAGTATACTTGAATAAATAAAAGGTGGTATCCTTTGCTCTTGAATAAGGTGGCTCATTATTTTTTCTTCTACTTTCTGAGATTTACTTTTTTCTTTACTTTTCAAAGTCAAATGCTTATGTAATTAAAACATTTTCAGTTTTTCTTCTCTACATACATATTTACAAAACCATAAAACTTCCTCTTAAGATATATCTGTGTCTTACGAGGCATTTTTGTTCAGTTCTGTTTTATACATTTCATTATGATTTCTTCTTTGCTAATTAATTATCTACAGATATATTTTTTAGTTTTCAAAATATTTTTGTCATGACTTCTAATTTTATTTTACTGTGGTTAGAATATAACATCTACAATTTTGATTTTTTGGTATTTAACAATTAATTTGTTATTCACCAAATACCTATTTTTTTCAGACACTAGTGTAGGTTCTAATGATATCATGGTGAAGAAGTAACCCTACTTCTTTGCCTTTATGGTACTTACTTCTATTGTGATATACATTTTCTCTTTAAAAAATATGTATATATAATTTGTGGTTTGGGCATTGTTCCTGTTTTGGTGTGGTCAAATATTATTGCAGAGTGCTCTTATTTTTGTCTTGGTTCCTCATGGTCACAGAGTGGCCTTGTCTAATGTCTCCTGGATGTCAGGGGGGTTCCTTTTCTCTTTTCTAATTCTCTAACTGATTCTAATATCATGTTTTCTAAATCATAATCTTGTATACTTATCTCAACAATTTATGGTGTTTTTGAGGTTCAGTCTGTTATATTTTGTGATTTACTGGGGCTATTGCTAGCAATGTTTTATAAGCAAAGCAACTTTTATCTTTCAGATATTTACTTTAAGAAAATGTAATAGTGTTTTAGGATATTATTTTATTAAATCTTGGGGCTCAAATTTAGAAAGATTATATTATTCATTTTATTGCTTAAGTTATATTTTCCAAACTTTTTAGGCTAATGAATCTCCTTGCCAATATCTCCTTGCCAAGAGTCTCATACACTCAATAAAATTGGTTTTACTGGCTGGGCACGGTGGCTCATGCCTATACTCCCAGCACTTTGGGTGGCCAAGAGGGGCAGATCACCTGAGGTCAGGAGTTCAAAACCAGCCTGGCCAACATGGTGAAACCCCCATCTCTACTAAAAATACAAAAATTAGCCAGGTGTGGTGGCAGATGCCTGTAATCTCAGCTATTCAGGAGGCTGAGGCACAGAATCTCTTGAACCCAGGAGGTGGAGGTTGCAGTGAGCAAAGATCATGCCACTGCACTCCAGCCTGGGCAACAGAGTAAGACTCTGTCCTCTGTCTCAAAAAAAAAAAAAAAAAAAAAAGAAGAAGAAGAAGAAGAAAGAAAAGAAATTGGTTTCATTGTTCATCATGTTCTCTTGTATGTAAAAAAAAATCAATTTGAAGTTAAAACATATCTTAGTACAGTCACATCTATTTTATTTTAAGAAATATTACTCAAGTATGTATTTAGTTTTGACATTTTCACTTTGCAAGTCATATATGCCATTTACTTCAAGTTAACATGTAAAAAACTCCATTTTTTTGTCAAATTGATTTTAACATTTTTTTGTGTGTGATTTAATAACCAAGCATTTTTGTTATAGCTTCAAAAATAAATGTATATTGCTTTAATGAACTGATATTTGAAAACATTTGTGTTTTTACTGCGAAAACTACTAGCTGGTTTATTTTTGTTATTTTTTGTGTCTCATTGTAAGATGTCGAGATAAGTGATAAGGTCTCAGGATGCTCTGCAGGCTGAGGTATCACCACCACTATATTTTCTTTCCTTACCAATGTTTTTTTGAAGTTATTAATACATCTTTATGCAGTGTATAAGAGTTTTCATCAAAGGAATACTATTAATGTATTTCAAGAAAATCATCTTAAGGCAAATCTGTCAGAAATATATCATTATTTTAACATTGGCTATTTTTATCTTTCCTCTTATTTTTTTTCCCTAACCAATGATAGGTAAATTTACTGTCATTGGTAACAAAAAAATAGGAAGGATACAAATAATAATTGAGAATCATTTAACAGCAAAAGTTATCAGTATGGCTAGCACTGTTTAGCTTAATGACTGAGTCTTAAAGATGATCATATTATAATCATGATGTGTTCTCAAATTCTTCGGTTTTAAAGAAATAATATTTTATTAATCATCTTATTTATTGATTTAAAAATAAATATTAACCTTTTTAATAATGTGAATCTCTAGAATACCTTTATAATCTTCAGAGGGTTCATAAAACATCAGTTTAAAATATTGAATTCAGTCAAAGAGAAAATAGGATTTGATAGAAGAAATTTGAAGCCACATTTCTCAAGTGCATAGTACTTAATCTTATCCCATTTCATGTTTTATTTCATCTTCATTTTCTATCTCATTTTTCTTTTCTTCCAATTTTCATACTTATTTTATATCATGTCATATATATTTATATTCTTCCTCACTTCCTCTTTGAAATTAGGTGGAGGTTATTGGTAAGTGTTCATATTGAAGCAGAGTCTGTGTGCCATTTTTTTTTTTAATGTAGAAAACCTATATTCAAGTTCTAGAAAAATTGGCATTCTAAATAAGGTTGTGTTATGTGGTATGATTTTACTTTATTAACATTAAACTTTATTTGAAGCAAGTTAAAATTAATGTTAGAATTAAGAAAATGATTGTTCTAATGTTTTCCAGCTGCTAATAGGTTATGAAAATGGTACTGTAGTATTCTGGGACTTGAAATCTAAAAGAGCAGAACTGAGAGTTTATTATGATGAGGTAAGTGATTTCCACCGAAATGTTTGAAACAGTATTGTGATGTTATGCCTGTTTACTGCTTTTAAGCTTTGTACTTTACCAATATGTTTAGCCTTGGGAAGTTGCCTGATTCTGACCCAATGCTTCACACTGTCTTTTGGTATTTGTGTAAGTTCCATCTCTGGTTTTTCTCTTAAGAGGAAATTCTGCCTCGACTGCCTATTTTGGGGCCCTCTTGTGGCATCTTATATACTTTGCATTTGTTAATAGGTCCTGGCTTGTACTCTTACACACTTGGGTGCCTGTCACCTGTAGTATATCCCCAACTTTGTCTCAACTGCTTTTCCTTTCTCTAGGCTCCATGCTACGTTGTGCTTCATTGTCCTTAAGGTCTCTAAAGACACTATTCACACCTTCCTTAGAAAATTCCTTTTCAGAGGCAAAAGGTTCAAGTCAGTTTGAAAGGTCTTGTCTTCTAATACTTGTCTTCTTAGAATAAAGAAAAATTTTGTAAATAGTAATACTTAGTAAGTGACCAGATCTTAATAAGTGACACTTATTAAATGACAAGATCTTGAAGTAAGTTTTATTGTACATAATTGAGACTTGAGTAAGCTTGCATTTAGGGGAAGCAACAAACTCCTATTCATCAAGGAATAATCTCCCAGTTGACACTTCAGTTGTTCAGATATTAATTCCAGGCCATTCATTATTTTTCCATTCAGGAGAGGCTAACAAGAAGATGGTAAAACTGGGAGCAACAGATTAAAAGGGAAATTACCTTTTGTGCCTGTGGAAACAAAGGTGATCATCTGTGCTATTAATTCAATTTGAAAATGGTGGGAGGAGGAAGAGATAGGAGGAAAATATAGGTCAAAAATTTACATCCAGTAAAACCTACTCTTATATAGGAAAAGTGCCAAATAATTTAAGGCAGCAATGAAATAATTGGAAAATGAAAACCACACACATGTTAATTTTAGAACACTTCCTCATTTTATCATTGGAGGGATAAAAAATGTCTCCAAATGAACCTGTAGTCACCGTAGAATACTTTACATGTTCTCTTCCATCCCCCTCATAGCAGTTAATTGTTTAAGTTTTGGTGCTTAAAGATATAAGCCTTCACCTATTTCATAAACTGTACAATTCATTATCAGTGGTTCTCATAGTGGTAAAAAAAGTTTAGAAAGAAAATAAAATGGCAGCTGGGTAATTTTTTCATGATTGGTGAAAAATAATCTGATAAGTAATATCATTCAGTTATGTTTTTTATAATCAAATTCTTGAGCATCTTGAATCATAAGAAAAGAAGGTCCTAGTGAGCTAAGCTAGGATTTTCCTTTTGTTATACAAATCATAAAGATGGGGATGGATAGTGCTCCCTCTCCTCCCTCTCTCAACACTAGCAGCTAAATAAGAATATGAACACCATGGGAATATTTAGTCAGTTGGAATTAGAATAACCAGTTCAAAACGAAACCCAGAGGAAAATGCTGAATCATCTAGCTTTCCTATGGCCTTAAACAGTGTGGAAGAAACGTTTTGAGCCTTAAAAAGAGAGTAAAATTGCAGTGAAATTTTAAAATAAGGATTAGCAGCTGCCTAAGTGAGTTAGTACAGTACCACAATATATGTAATTTATACCTAGAAGTTTTTGACATCTGATATATGTATATAAATCTATCATCTTTATCTACTGTAATGCATCATTATATGCTCTATTGTTTTAATAGAGATAGTTAAATACTTCATTTCACTACCAAACTTTTCAGCCTCTCCTCAGCACTTTACCTCTCATATCTAGAAAACATGCTTAATACTTACCTGAAATGGTTTTTTATAAGTCACCAATGAGCTCTTCATTACTATACACAGTGACCTCTTCTTAGCCTTTACATTCCTCACTAAACCTGTGGCTTTACCTCAGTTTCTCCTCCTTAAAATAATTTATTCACTTGACTGTGTCTTTCCACTTCATTTATCATACCTCCTTTCTCCATAACTGATTTTTCCCTTACCTCTCCTTTACATTATTAATATTCTTCAGGATACTATGTCTTTACCCTCATTTCTTCTCTCCCCAATTTATACTTTCTAATGTTTATATTCTCTTTTATCATTTCAAATATTACCTTTATGCTAAAAAAAAAAAGAACATCCATATATCTGTAGCCTTTACCTCCCTCCTGAACTGTAGATCTAAATATATAACAATATATTAGATAAATCCAACGAAATATCCCATTGGCACTGAATTTGTATTTAAATATCTAAACCTCCTTCTATGTTTTCTTCTGGTTTTTAAGTCTTGTTTAGTTAATTCAGCCTAGACCCCTCAAAGTAATATTTGTCTCTTCCATCAACATGTAGTATATGCAATCAATTTCCGCAGTCTTTCTGATTCTGACTTTATATTGTCTCTTTTATTTCCTCTTTTCTCATTCCCACTTCCAATGTCCTATTTCAAGTTGTTATCTTTTGCCTGGATGACTATAAGAGCATTTTAACTAATCACAACCACTTTTCCTTTGATATCTTACCTCTTCAATATATCCTTCATTAACAAGATTATCATTTTAAAACAGATTATGGAATTCTCTACAACAGAACCTTTGAATAGCTCTCAATTGTCAACAATACAAAGTCCATATTGCTTGACATGAGATTTAAGGTCCTAGTGCTATCATTCCTCTTCAGTTAAATTTACAGCATCCTTCTACACATTCCCCACATTTCAGACATATTACTCACTATCTTCTATATATAACATTTATTTCTTATCTCTGAGCCTTTGTTCCTTCTAACTTCTCATCATGAACTGCCTTCTTTCCTCTTCTGTATATCAAAATTCTGTTAGGTCTTTAGCCCCTGTAAAACTATTTAGACAATTTAACTAGCCTCTTCATAAATAGCCATTGATGAATTGAGTTTTGTTTTGGAAATCCAAGATTATTTTCAGAAACAAATATACGAATTTTACTTTCACATTAACTGTAAATTTTTTCTTTCATTACGTCAATAATTCTTAAGTAATCTTTCACAAAGAAATCCCTCAGAGTTTGGCCTGAAGAAAATTTTTTAATTTCTTAAGAACTGCTGTATTTCCTTTTTTCCATATTGTTATCCAGTTTTTTGGATTTCCTTCTTTCATGTTTTAAAGAAACTCAGTCTCAGCCACTGAGTTGATAAAACTAGCTAGTATTTTATGTTTAAAATTCTGTTTTCTATCTCTTAAAATTCTTTTTAGATTAGTTGTATTAATTTTGTTTTTTCAGTAAGCCCTCTGAGCTCCCCTCCCTTTTTTTGAGAAAAGAGTAGGGTACAATCTAATAAATAGAAATTGAATGTTTATCCATTAAGTTAGATCAAATGCTAGCTACTCATAAATGCACTACATGAAACCCTGATCTCTAATAACAAGTTGGTTTTACATGCTTGTTTTTCTAAACAATAAATATTCTTCTTTAATAGTACTGACTTACTTTGGCTTTATTGTAACTATTATTTTTATATCTGTCCTTTCCAGTAGACAGAAATTCAGTGAAATAAGAAGGTTTAGGGCTGAGAGTGCCTTTTCTGCCTCCACCTTTGGTGGCAAAACAGTTTGAGACAACTTTAAGTTAAATGAGGCCCATCAAAGTTAACATGTAGGGGAGGCAATAAGATGTGACTTTCCCTTGCACCACCTACATAAGGGAGAAGAAATAAGCAGAGGAGAAGAGAAAGAAGTATTTTTCCCTCTAACTTCCTCTGCTGGACTCTAGCAAAAAAGAAATCTCTGCTTAGTAATGAAGGCCACAGAGTGAGAGAAAACACAAGTCCAGGGTTTCATGTTGCTTTTTCCATTTAATCAATCTTATTTTCTTGATGATATGTTTAATAATTACTTTAGCCATCAGTTATCTGCAACTCTAATAATACTGATTGCTTAGAACTTTTATCAGTTATGTACGTATAACTTAGTTTGGAACTTTTAGTTGTATGTGTCTATGTGTGATGTTTCAAACAATAAATATGATTAGTATTCACTTATATTAATCTTCTCTCTCTTGCTATTTTATAAGTGTCTTTAAGGAAAAGATGTTGTATGCTTCTTTTCTGCCTTTATATCTACTATAATTTTTCTCATAGTACTTAGTACTTTACCCAAGTTCTGCATATACTTTATTAATTTAGAAAGAATACCAAAGGTGTGGAAATGTGTGTGACATTAATTACAAATTCAGTCAGAAGATATTTATTGAGTACTTACTTTATGCTGGTCGCTATGCTAGCATTGGGAATAGAATACCTTGGGAAAAAGGAATACAGTCAGCCCTCTGTATCCATAAATTCCTTATCCTTGGATTCAACTAACTATAATGGAAAATATTTTAAAAACAAAAACAATTTTAAAACAATATAATAATTTATAATAATACAAATAAAAAGACAGTATAGTATAACTACTTACATATCATTTACATTCTATTAGTAAACTAGGGATGATTTAAAGTATATGCAAGGATATTCATAGGTTGTATGCAAATAGTATGCTGTTTTATATCAGGGACTTGTGCATCTGTGGATTTTAGAATCTGAGGGAGTGTGGGAGTTCTCTAACTAATCCCCAATGGTTACCGAGGGATGGCTGTAATTACTTTTGAATCTTATGTGACTCAAAACTGCAGAGTTAATCTGAAAATATAAAAGAAAATTTAGACCTTTCTTGCTTTAAATTGATTTAAATAGTATATGCAAGAGGGCAATACAGTGCAATGATTGACAGTTTTTCATAGTTAGACCTTGGTTTTGAGTTTTGTGACTTCAGCAGGTATCTCAGTCTCTCAAGACCTGTTTCAACATGTGTAAATTGAAAAATCAATACCCTTTTTTATAGGATTAAATGAGATAATGTGTATAAAATGCTTGCCATGGGGTTTGGCACATAGAAAGCCTTCGGATGGTAGCTCTTAAATTATTTTTTTAGTTGGCTATGTTAGGAGGAAATAGGACTTCATCTTATCAGAAATTACATTCTGATATGGGTCAGAAAAAATATGTTTTTAAAGTGTTATTAGTATAATAATTTTATATCAGAATAGTCTTTCTTTGGAATATAGAATGATATAACTTATCTACTTTTTCCCCCTCTACTTGTTTTTAATTGTTATTTTATTAGGCTATTCATTCAATTGATTGGCATCATGAGGGCAAACAGTTCATGTGCAGCCATTCAGATGGTAGTTTGACTTTATGGAACCTGAAAAGCCCAAGTCGCCCTTTCCAGACCACAATTCCACATGGTAAGATGTATGCTTTCAAAAGAAATAAACACTGACTACTCAGTGCCTTGACTTGAAGTAAGATAGATGGTATTCATGTGTTTGGTAGAAAAAGGTAATAGGACATAGCTTCTGGTTCTAAATACCCCTTTTATGCCACCTACAGATCCCTACATTGTACCCCAAACTTTCCATACTTCCCTTCTTCCTGCCAACCCACATCCCTGCTTTGTAAGCTGTACTTATATAGTGTCCCAGCCAAAAGTCGGATAATGGATGGTTGATATATCTGAGGCAGAGGAGATAATACAGGAAATTTTGTTGCTTTTAAGGGTTGAGGAGCCAGTGAGAGAATTGCACTATTTAGATCTGACTTTCAGACTTAATTCCTATACTGCTTTATAGTCTATTGCTTTCTAGATTCTCTACTTGTTTCCATTTCTGCCATTTGATTCCACTAAGTTATGAAGACTGTGGTTTTAATTTTAGTTTTTACTTTTCTTTTTGGGTTCCACATTGAAAAGAGCATTTTAATCCTAAGTGAGGATTTTAATCTTAATCAAGAATTTATATTGGAACTGTATACCTACCGGGGAAGAATAAAAAATTCAAATATATAAATATGTATAATTCAGATGACTAAATTATTTGATAATATTGGTGATTATCTGAGTTCTATGTTTACCTCATACCGTTGATTATTTGTAATAATAGATATGTCAGAACCTAACAGTTGATCAAAAATATTCTATTTTACAGTTTCTGAGCATTTGTTATCATGTCACATTTGGAAAATAGTGGTATGTTTTCTGTAATGGGTGACCCATAGATCACAAGCATTCTTAGAATTATTTCATGATGTGTCTCTGCTATTTTTTTGTACCATGATCACTTGCTCCATCAGTAAATGATTAAATTATTGCAACATTCTTCCAGGATGTAAATGTTTTAGCCTTTAGCTGGTTTACTTAGAGATTACTTTACATTTCAATGCTTACTTAGAGATGCTTTATTTAGAGATTGCCATTACAGAAACCTTGGATAGATATTAGCTATACATACCAATCAGGATTAACTATTTATTTATATGAGAGGCAATAGGTTCTCTCCACACACCCCGAGTTAACCCCCAATTCTCATGCCTTTTATTTGTAAAAGTGTAATATGAGTTAGTTATAAATTTTCTACTTACTTCCTTATGTTCTTCTCAAATATCAGTTTCTATTAGTTCTTTTGGCTAGTCTGGACATTTGATACTTTTATTTTTTTACCATATCCATATTTATTTCATCAGTTTTGATTGTTTTCTATTATTCTGGTTTTCTGTTGAAATAAAGTTCTATTTACAGGTTGTTCAACACATCAGCCTTGATGTCTTTTATAATATGTAAATCAGATTATGTTCCTGTTGCCTCACAATAACATAAGCACCAGTGATTTTGATAATAGAGGCATTTATTGTCATATCTGTTCACATTCTTTGGGTTTATTTTTTTTCCTTTTGTTTTAGCCATTGTTCTAAAATAAAACTTTTCTCTAAGTACCATTTTAGATATATCCTACAAGTTTTTAAATGTAATATTAATCATATATAATTTTCATTAATATTTAGTTTGAGATATTTTCTATAATTCCTATTATAATTCTCCTTTGACCCCCATTAGTTATTTAGACATGTGCTTTCTAATTTCTAAACATTTTCATATTTATTATTTGTGTTATTATTATTAATAAAAGATGGGTCTTGCTATGTTGCCCAGGCTGATCCTAAGCTTTTGGAGGCCTCAAGTGATCCTCCCTCTTTGACCTCACAAAGTGCTAGAATTACAGGTGTGAGCAACCACACCCAGCCTTAATTTCTTAGCATGTTTTTTTATGATGGATTTTGAAATTGTAGCCAGAGAATATGACATAACTAGTTCTACAAAATTTACTGAGATTTGCTTTATAATCAGTGCAGAGCCAATTACCATAGCATTCTAAGTGTGCTTGGGAAGAATGTACATTTTCTAATTGTTACATAAAGGTCAAACTTGAAATGGTGTTTTTCATTTTGTATGGTTTAAATCTTTGCTAATTTTTTGTTTTGATATTTCAATTCTTAGAGAAGCGAGTTAACATTTCTCTTATAATGAATTTTCCTTAGTAATTCTGTTCATTTCTGTTTTACTTTAAAAAACAAATAGGTTAAGGTAGTTGATGGTGTTTTTCAGATTCCCTGTAATTGAACTGATACTTGTCTAGTGCTATCAATTGCTGAGAGAGTGGTATTAAATTTCCTAATATGATTATAGAAGTGCATGCTTCTCAGTTTAATTCTGCCCATTTTTGCTTTATGTATTTTGAGGATCTATTATTAGGCATCCATTACATATCCTATAAAGAGCATAGCCCACCTTTTGTATACACAGATTCTTCACCCATAGATTCAACAAAACCAAAGATCAAAAGTATTCTGAGAAGAAACAATTAAAAATACAAAAATTTAAAATAAAAGAAATAAAAAGAAACAATACAGTGTTAAAACTACTTGTGTAGTGTCACACTGCATTGCGTATAAGTAATCTAGATATGATTTAAAGTATACAGGAGGATGTATGTAGGTTATATGCAAATATTATGCCATGTTATATAACAGACTTAAGCATCTGTGGATTTGGGTATAGGAGGGGTAGTCCTGGAATCAGTAGATACTGGGAATAACCATAGTTGAGTCTTGTGCTTTTATCTAGTCACAGAGTTCAGTCTATTAATATTAAATGTAATTACTGATGAGATTGAATTTTAGCCTACCACTTCATTATCTGTTTGGTGGGTCCTGTCATATTTTTCCCTCTTTTCTCTTTTTGCCTTCTTGGGGGTTATTTCAATTTAATTTAATTGAAATTTTAATTTAAATATTATAATTTCATTTCTATTATAATTTCATTTTAATTTAAATATTAATCTAAGCATTTTATTTTCACATATTTTTTATTGGTTGCTCCAGGGATTACAATATACTTCCTTAACTATTCAAAGCCTATTAGAGCGAACATTGTGACACTTCACATAAAATGTGCAAGTCTTGTAACCATATAGATCTATTTCTCTTCCCCTACTGTCCTTTATGCTACAGTTATCATATAGTACATCCAAATATATTGTTATAATTTTTGGTTTAAATAGTCACATGTCTTTTTTTTAATTAAGAGGAAAAATCGTCTTTTGAATTTTCTTTGCTATTTGTAATTTGCATTTGTTCCTGAAGATACAAGAACATTATTTAATTTTTCTTTTTTTAAAATTTTTTTATTTTATTATTATTATTATTATATTTTAAGTTCTAGGGTACATGTGCATAACGTGCAGGTTTGTTACATATGTATACTTGTGCCATGTTGGTGTGCTGCACCCATCAACTCGTCAGCACCCATCAACTCATTTTAGGCCTAGTGGAAATGAATTCACGTAGCTTCCTTTATCTGGAAGTTCATTTTTGTTTTGTTTTGCCTTTTTTTTTTTTTCTTTTTTGGAGGCCATTTTTTTGGATTTAGATTCCTGAACTGAGAGTTTGTGTGAGCATGCGTGTTTTGGTTTTAAGGTGATGAACACTTTATATGATCTTCTGCCTTCCATAATTTCTGAATGAGGAATCTGTAGTAGCTTGAATTTTGCTTCCTCTTTATATAATGTGTCACTTTTCTCCAATTGCTTTCAAAATTTTGCGGGGTATCTTTTATTTTCAGCAATTTGACTACTTTATGTCTAGGCTTGGTTTCTTCAAGTTCATTCTGTTAAGGGTTCTACCAAGTTTCTCATATATATTATATGTGTGTGTATATATATATATGATATATAATTTGCTGGGTCATCAGCTGTTTTACTCAAGATTAGCACTGTTGATGGCATTGTTCTTATAGCTGATGCTGCTGTTACTGCAGACATCGATTTTTCCTGTTCAGTGGTTTCAAATATGTATTTATGGTTTCAAATGTGTATTTTTCAGTTGCAGTGCTACCAGTTACACATGCATACATACACACATACATATACAACACATATCTACATATATGATATTAAACCAAATCCTATCAAATACTTAATAGCGAAAATTTTGCTCAGAAGCAGGACGGGGTGTCCACAATTACCACTTTTATTTAATATTTTCCTGGAAATGCCAGCCAATATTATTAGACTTGAAAATGAAATATAATATTTAAAAATTTAGAAAGAGTATTCAAAATTTTAGTTACTTTTTCATAATGCAATTAGACAACACAAAACAAAAATGAATTAGGAAAACTATTACATGCAACAGTAGAATTCTGTACACAAAACAAACAAAATATAATGGATGAATAGAACCATTTTAGATCACAGCACCCACAAGAATACATGGGAATAAGCCTTAACATACATGTGAAGTATTATTTCTATACGGAACATACAACAGAAAACTTGAATAAATTAAAAACATACCATATGTATGCATAGTAAATTCAACATTATGAAGACGTTGATTTGCCACATATTACTTTGTAAATTCAGTTTGTCCCCAAGAAAAATAATTACAGGGTTTTCCCTGACAAAAACGAGCAACAGGGAAAGGATTCCCTATTTAATAAATGGTGCTAGAAAAACTGGCTAGCGATATGTAGAAAACTGAACAGGACCCCTTCCTTATACCTTATATAAAAATCAACTCAAGGTGGATTAAAGACTTAAACGTAAGACCTAAAACCATAAAAACCCTAGAAGAAAACCTAGGCACTACCATTTAGGACATAGGCATAGGCAAAGACTTCGTGACTAAAACAACAAAAGCAATGGCAACAAAAGCCAAAATTGACAAATGGGATCTAATTAAACTAAAGAGCTTCTGCACAGCAAAAGAAACTATCATCAGAGTGAATAGGCAACCTACAGAATGGGAGAAAATGTTTGCAATCTATCCATCTGACAAAGGGCTAATATCCAGAATCTACAAGGAACTGAAACAAATTTACAAGAAAAAAATCAAAAAACCCCATCAAAAAGTG